AACTTTAATCAAAACAGTCTTAACTCTAAATATTTTCTATAAAAGAACTTTTTTTTATTTAAAAAGTACGCAGCTCAAATATGTCATACTCTTATAGAAAATATTATAATCTTTTTGGAAATCTTAGGATCAACACAAATGAAATTATTTGACGGACGGAACTGAAATTAAGTTAATTTATTTTTGATTGATAGAGTAATCTTTAATCTAATTTATTCATATTTTTGGTAACTCGAAAAACATTTTTATAGTTATGTCACTTAAAGTAGGGGAATATATATATATATATATATATATCACACACACACACACACACACACACACACACACGCGCGCGCATATACACAGGATGTTTGCAAATTCATGGCACAATTGGGAAGAGAGAGACGTAGAAGTTTTTTTTACATGATATTTTGTTTTTTACAAAAATGATTTTTAGTATTCGTCGGATGTGGATTTCATTGATAAATCATTCATTGATGAATAGAACTAGAACCATGTTAGAAAGATTCTTAACGTTTGTAAAAACGTTTATAAAAATTTACTTCAAAGAACAGAATTTCGTATATTCGACAGAACGGACAACATTTTCAATAATTTATAAAGTAAGATTATCTTGCGTGAATATCCTATTTTTATCGAGTATTTTCGATTACCTAGTACAATAATAAACACAAACATGAGCAGAGATAATAGTCTATAGTGAGATCTATTAAATCGAGAAATAAGTGCGCACGTATTTGAATATTTAAAATTGATTTTTTTGAAAACAAAGCCTCACATTAAAAATATTCATTCTACGATTTCGATTTATTTTTAATATAGACTCATCCGCTTTCCGGTATTATCAGTTCACGAACACCCTACATATAATATATAAAATCTTTTACTCGATATTCTTTTAAATCATATGACTCGAAAATTCATTCATATCGAAATTTAATGTCTCTTTTCGAAGTGAAATCAGTAGAACCATACGCGTATCGTAGCCTTTGTAAATTCAACATTTTTCTTTGACGTCTCCGCTCGCTGTTTTATACGGGATAAAGTTGTAGTTAAGCGGATTTTGTGGAACAAAGGAACATACGGATTTTTACAACTAAGTGAGATGTTGTAATCGGATCCCATATGGACAAGGCTGTGAGTTTCGTTCCCCTTAAACGAGATGATGAGATCTCGATGCGTACCGTGTGTTTTGGATGAGGGATAAGTGAGAACCGTGCCGCATAGATATTAAGTATAATTTAACAGATTGCCCTTCTACGGACGCACCTTTCGACCAACATAGAGGCGGAGAAGGGTACACCGAAGAAGGAAGAAAGAAAGTTATAAGGAACGCGTCAAGTGTAAGATTGTATGCGAATCTCGATTATACGGGGATACCGCCGTTGTCGTGTTTTTCGGCGGAAGGAAACACTGAATAATAAGAATGAGACAGCTCAGTAATTACGGCGCTATTTGGGGCTTTGCGTGCAATATGGTTGAATGATGCCTCTCAGCCGCCGACACGTATTAGACAATAATTGTGGCGATTATTTCGTAAGCGTGAAAGTTTAATAATATATCGTTATTTGTCACGAGTATTCTCGTCATAAAATTTATGTAAAATTAGATCTTCCGCATGCAACATAACTTATCGATTTTCGATATTTTTGTTTATCTTATATATCGAAAGTAATTTGAATTTGTGTACTTGTGCCGTGTTTTCCCACGAGAGTGAGGATGAAAGAATGACTATGAAAATGAAAAGGCAAGAAGTTCGTATAGAATCGCGAGACATGTGGAGCAACGTTCGACTAGGGGACACGGATTTTGTTGAGTCTCGTGGCGACAAATATTTTCGATTCGTTCGTACGAAAAAGGGATTCGTCGATTCGCGCAACTCGGGTGCAACGAGGCGTGGGAGCTTCAAAGACGTACGAAGCGCCTCCGTGGAATAAGAGGATAATATGGACTCGATTTGACGTCTTTGAATATTTAATATCACCCACGTTGAAACCGTCTCATCATTCGCGTCTTACCACTGTTCAGACGCTTGCTATTGAAGTAGAACTAATGAAGGACTGCGTAACACCGAGTTGAATAACTGATCGTTTTCTAATGTAAAGAAATGATTTTCCATTATGAAAATAGAATATCTTATCGATTCTATTCTGAGATATCTCTCTTCTTATGTTACTGGCATATTAGACATATGCCAGTCTTTATCTTGTTACTTTTAGACGAGTGGAATGTGCAATTTCGATGTCGCAAGAGAACAGACATTTATCACATAACTCACGTCCTATAGAATTTTCCATAAAACGCATCAGACATCTCGCAGTTTCTTCAGCGTATTCACCGTCGAACAGTTCTTACCTTCGAATGTTTCGCGACAGACGCGATTTTTGTAGACACATGCGCGCCTGCTGGTGTCGTGTGCACCGACGCTCTATCTCTCAAACGTTGAACAGCGAAATGCAGGTTTACGGTTTTTCCGGCGATTTGCCCGCTCTTACCGCTCTTTTACGCGACCTGAAAAGGCGGCGCCTCAAATGAACTTGCGGTAAAGTATAAAGGCAACCGTAAGAAGTGGCACAACGACAAGAGAGGACGACCGAGTAGTCTCATGCAATTCTAAACTTACTATTTCAATGAAATGGAATAGAACGGCCAGTAGATTTGTTGGTCGCAGCACCCGACCGACCGACCCTCTCGTATCACAAGAGATGAAGAGAGGTGAAGAG